TCCTTCGGGCTGCGGCAGGACCCGACCCGCAGGGGCCGTGGCCTCTCCAGTGGGACCCGGGAGCTGCCGGAGGGGACCCCACGCGCCCTGCAGGCCCACTCCGCACTGGTCACCCCGGCAGGGCTGTGCCACACCGGGCACCCGCTCTGGGACGCGCCACAGGGCCAGGCTGGGACCAGGGCTGCATGGGGTGCTGGCAGGTGCCTCGTCTAGTGTGGATCCCCAGTGGCTGGAACAGGTGCCACGTGCGGCTGGCAGTTTACTGGGGAGCAGCTAATGCTTTGTAAATTTACACCTAACTTACTGTGTGGTTGCCAGCTCATTTGCCCTTCTCTAGTAGACTGTAACTGGCATGAATGATGCGTGCCCCCCGACTGCTGCGGGGGCACAGTGGCAGCAGGAGTGTGGTGGCAGTAAGCGGGCAGCTCTCGTAGATGCCACCGTCGCTGTCAGTGGCAGGGGCGAGGGCAGGATGGCAAGCACTGACCAGGGGCCAGCAACCACCCACAGATGCTGCTGGCAACGGCGGTGGCCATCGGCGATCACTGACTGCCCACAGGCACCATTGGTGGCGGGGTGGAGAGGTGGCAAGTAGCCGCGGCACCTTTTTGTAGGGGGTGCTCCACCATGCTCAGGGGGTGCAGGTGCACCCACGTGCACCCCCTACACATCACTAGTGGTAACTGGTAGTAAGAACGCACATCTGTGTAGGGTGGCCATCACAGAGGACAGTCCAGTTGTCCTCTGTCCTCTACTGATACGAAACCCGATGCCTTTATGTCCCCTATTTTTCTCTACAACAGAAAAATAGAGGGTATAAAGGCATAGGGTTTCGTATCAGTAGAGTACAGAGGAGCAGAAAACCAGACTGTCCTTTATGATGGCCACCCTACCTCTGCATAGCAATCTGTTTTAAATGCCTTGTCTTCATTTTCCTCACATCTGTCAATTTATTGTGCATTTCAAGAGATGCTTTGGCCCCTTGCATCCCTAAGTTAAAATCTTTCCTTTAGGTTGGATGACTTGATCCAAGTTGGATAGCCTTAGGAACTTACAATAGGTGTGTTATTGGAGGGCCAGGAAAGATTTAACTGGCCTAGTACTGCTTCTGAAAAAACAGTGAATATATAAGATGCCACATCCTCTAAGAGGATTTGTGTGTCTCCTGGTTGCAGCAGGTAACTCTGAGTAAGGAGATATGGGCTGTTTGCATCCTGTCACTGCTGCTCTCTGTCTTTTTGTGCCTCCATTTCCCTATTTGGAAAGGCTGTATATAACTGCCCCGTATTATCACATAGCATCAGAGATAATCTTGTAATGAGTAAAGGTCTCAACAATTGCTTGAACATCCTCAGCCTGATTTTGTTTTAATTAAGTTTTTCCATAGGTGAGGGGGTATTATTGTTGTTAGAAACAATTAAAAAGAACTGTTAATTTAAAATGTTGAAGGCAATTTAACAGTGATACCTAAATCAAATTAATCATAGAAAAATAGGACTGGAAAGATCATAGGAAAGTAAGACTGGAAGGAACCTCAGGAGATCATCTAGTCCAATCACCTGCTCAGGATAGGAATCATCTCTTTCTAAGCCATCACAGACAGAAAAGTATAAAAAAATAGTTTGTTATGCTGTTATACTTGTACAGAGAAGAAAAAATAATTCTTGTTTTCATTTAGCAATATAATTTTGTATGACTTTAAATAATACCACTAGAATTACAGCAGTATTCTTTCTTTACATCTTAGGGTAAAGAGATTAAGGTTTTAAATGCGTATTGTACCTTTTAAGAAAAAAGTCATAACTGTTAAAGGAAATGAAACCCAAAGCTGAGTCTTGATCTCTATCGCAATAGAGCACGTAAATCAGACTTAGAGTTTGGTGGCTTGAGAAAATGTAGATTGAAACCTAAGCCATTAAGTTTATAAAAATAACCAATCCTTAACACTTGATTGCTTTTTGAAATAAAGGTTGAGCATGAGAGAGGTGAACTCATTTCAGATTGTTGCGGAGGGGAGAGAAATGCCACATTAACGCTAGTAATACAAGATTGGATTTTGTTGGGAATCATCCCTGCCACCCCAAGGCTCCCAGAAGTGGGGCGGGGCAGGGCAGCGCAGTATGCACACATAGCTACTACAGCCCTGCAGCTCCCAGAAGCAGGGCTAGGCAGGACAGTGCAATACAAACACACGTGTGCGCGCGCGCGCGCGCACACACACACACACACGAATCTGCGGTTCCCCCTCTTCTCACTCTGCTGCAGCCCAGAGGAGGCCAGACCAGGGGACAGCTTGTCGCCTGGGCTCCCTGGAGAAAACTGAAGCAAAAGCCCCAGAATGACATGAACCCACCTGCATGTGATCTTGACTCAGGAGCCAGGCACGTGTGAGTGGGTTTGCACCAATCCAGGCCTTTTGCTTCAATTTTTTCCAACAGCTGGGATGCTGAGACAGCTTCTGAAATCCAGGGCTATCCCAGCCAGTCCAGGACATATGGTCGCCCCACTTAAACTGGCAAAAAATGCTTTAGCAGGATAATGGGTGTCATTCAGAGAAATGATGTAAATCAGGGGTGTCAAAAATACAGCCCACAGGCTGGATCTGGTTTCCAGAGCTATGCCATCCAGCCCAGGGGGCTAGGAATTTGGGAGCTATGGCAATTAACGCTGTGGCTGAGGTTGCTCATAGGCTGAAAATTTGTCTGGGATGAGCAGTGGCTGGCCCTGCTCCAGGAGCCACAGCGGTTAATACTGCCACTGCTTGCCCCACTGCCAAATTTCTGATCCCATGCAAGCCTGCAGACTTGCTCTGTGTTCTGGATCGAACCCATGTCTTTTTCGACATGTATTTTGTAACTATCACATGCTCTCCATTGTGCTGCAGAATTTAGGTTCAGTTTGCCGCAGACGCGAGGAAGACAAGAACGTACTTGATATGAAAGAAAAAAACCAGCAGAAAGTTGAGAAATGAAGAACCAGGCAGGGTTAGGTGAAGTCAAGAGCTGGTGGGAATGGGGACTCCAGAGCTGGCAAAAGGGTTAATCTACCATGGGTAGGAAAACTTTGCTGGGAGAGATATTGCCCCCATTGTGTGTTTTGCCCCCAGCTGTAGGTCTACAGGCCCTCACCGGTGAAGCAGGCAGAAGATGTTAGAATCTCAGCGGCTGCAAAGGTGGATGAAGACTGCAGCAGGACAAGATCCCCAGTTGTCCTGGTCTCCTTGCCACTGGCTCAAGGTACCCATTCTGTCAAGAGCCGTGTGGAAGCTGATGGTGCAGCAGTTTCTCCACAATAAAAGAAGTCACACACAGACGTCTTTCGTGCCAGCATATTCCTCAAGCCCTTTGGCAACGTCCTAATAGTGATGGGAGCAGGATTGTGAAGTCTGGAAGCTCCTACTCATGAACTGGCACAAAGGCAGCAGTTACAAGAAAGTTGTCTAGCACTTGGACGAGATAGGAGTGCGATTCAGCAATTATAACTGTGACTGAGCAGCCCTCTTCAGGATCCGCTCTGCTTAGGGCTGGAAAAGATGCCCTAAACATAGTCTGTCTAATATAGTAGTCTGTATTTCTTCCTGACTGGATGGATAACTGTATCTAGTGGGATCACCTTTACTGTGGTCAAAAATACCAACAAAGACACACCATTATTTTCAGGACTTGGAACATTAGGACCCGCATGGATAACATTAACCGTGAATGCCCAGAGCGCCGCACTGCAATCACAACTCGAGAACTCAGGTGACACAGGATCAATGTAGCTGCAATAAGCAAGACCTAGAGAGCAGGAGATGAGCAGCTTAAAGAACATGATGGTAGCTATACCTTCTTTTGGAAGGGCAAATAGGAAGGAGAATACCAACTCTGTGAAGTTGGCTTTGCCATTAAGAATGAACTTATAAACAAACTCAGTGAGTTCCCTTTTGGAATTTATGAGTATCTCATGAATCTCCCTGTTTTAAACTGGCAGGAAGCCAATATGCCACTGTCATCAGCATATATGCTCCAACTTTTGATGCAGCTGATGAAACCAAGGAGGAATTCTATACCAACCTTGGCCAAGTTGTTTCTGACATTCCAGAGGGAGACAGACTTATTCTTCTCTGTGATTTCAATGCCAGAGTCAGAATGGACTCTAACATCTGGAATGGAACCATCGGCAACAAAGGAGCAGGAAAGGTCAACTCCAGTGGCATCCTCCTCTTGACCAAATGCATAGAACACAGATTCACCATCATCAACACCCTGTTCCACCAGAAAAACAGGCACAAGACATCACGGCAACACCAATGATCTGAGCATTGGCACCTGATTGACTATGTCATCATCCGTGCCTGTCCTCGCAAAGATGCCTGCATCACCCAAGCTATGGTAGGAGATGATGATTGCTGAACTGATCACAGATCCACTTGGTTATGTCACTCAAACTGGCTCCCATAGAATGGCTGTAGCAAAAGCAATGCCGACAGAAGATCAGCATTGAAGGACTCAAGGACCCAAGCAAGTGAGACCTATTCCACCAGTGCCTCAATACAAAACTGGTGAATTCCAATCAACAACAATGGGAGAATGTCAGCAGCTTGTGGAGTGCCCTCAAGGCCACTGTCATCAGCACCTGTGAAGAGACACTTAGATTCTTTACCAGGAATCATCAAGATTGGTTTGATGAGAATGACTGGGAGATCCAAGAGTTGATTGATCGCAAGCACAAGGCCTTTTGGGCTTGGCAAAATGACACCAACTGTGAGCAAAAGAAATATGAATCTCCAATAAGACAAGGCAGAGATCCAAAGGTGGACACATGTTATGAAGAACAAATGGTGGGAAGACAAGGTGAAGGAGATTCAATATCTGGCTGACATCCACAATTTGTGCAGCTTCTTTAGTGCTGCCAAACTATCTCTGGTCCAAGCACTCAGGGACCAGACCCCTTAAGACCTAAGGATGGAGGAGACCTGATCAAGGAAAGGGGAGCCATCAATGCCTGTTGGAAGGAGCATCTTGAAGACCTTCTCGGTCAACACTCTACTGTTGACAAGTGTTCTCAACTCCATCCTACAACACTCAGTCAGAGATAATCATGGAATCCCTTCAGCCCTTGATGAAGTGAGGAAAGCTATCGAGATGAACAAGGCATCTGGAGCAGATGGAATCCCTGCTGAAATCTTAAAACAGGGAGGAGAGGAGCTCACATCACAACTTCATGCCCTCATCTTAAGAATCTGGAATGATAAGGAAATCTCAGATGACCTCAGGCATGCCATGGTTGTGACAGTCTTCA